TGATGAGAACAAACTGACTGATCTCGGATAAGTAGCTGGTGATCAACTGCAAAAGCCAATGGGGAATTTGCAAAGCGAATAAAAAGTTTTTGCCGATCGAAGCAGTTGAATGCTGAGCATTAAATAAACAAGGAGCAAATAATTCGCCGTCGCGATTCATTCACTTCCTTGCAGATGTAATGGAAGATCGTAAGGATAGCATTTTCAGTCGACCTCAATGTTTTACAAGTGAACTGATATGAATCAGACGAGACCACCCAGAAAATTTTCAACTGTTGCAGAAGAAAGCATTCAAATGATTACGGAAAAGGCGATTAACACCCTACAGGACGAAACTCTGAGAAGGTTTTGGCCTGAGGCTTTTTTTCGGCAATGGTGTTATAATCCTTTCCAACGGTGATGGTATGATTCCAGTGGAGAGCCATCTATTGCATACAGGACTCCAAGGAAAAGCTAGGTAGCGGGCACAAGTTCTCAAAATCCATGAAGGAATTCCGCAGGGTTCCGAAGATATCTTAGGCCTGGGCATGCGGCGCAGTTTCTGTGCAGCTTTCAGCGTCAAATGAGGTGATGACAGATTAGAACAGGATGTCAGAATCCCCTTTGGTAACTACGCCAACAAGATCATTATTCACCATCTGGACGGTCTCAGCGTTTGCATCCCAGTCCTCGTTTGTAGAAATTGCAGCTCCCTCTCCTTTCTCTTGCAAGTGTCTGCTATCAGTTCGAAACAATAGATAACCAGAGAATCGAAACAGCTGAGTCCTGGGATAATAGAGAACAACCATATCTCTCGAAAACAGAGCGCACGCACTCTTCACGTGTCTCTCTACGGCGTTAACTCCTCCCAACCCCCTCGGGATGGAGGGAACATGCCCACTCATCCCCCTCGTGGATGCCCCTGCGCAACATTGACCTTTAGCAGGAACAATAAGCACCGATATATCAGGAACCAATTATAGGTCAACTTGTATAACAATTGATTTACGGCAGCTCTCAAGCCGACCAGACGTTGTGTTCGCGTTTGCTACGTATCTTATTTTCCTGTCTCAGATGGACGTCTCTCTCTCTTACCACGACTATTGCGACTACGTGTATTAGTGTCTATTGATGCCTATTCTCGTCTACCGGCCTCTTCCCATTCCAACACTTTCCTCTCCTACCTATTTTGACTATTAGACGGGGAATACGACCCTGTTTTCTTCCTGCCATGACTATTGCGACTATTATAATATTTTCTGGTGATGCCTATTCTCGTCTACTGCCCTCTTCCAGTTCCTACACTCCTCTCTCCTGATTATTTTGACCATTAGACGGGGAATACGTCTCTCTCTCTCATACCATGACTGTTGTGACTAATGTTTATTGATGTCATTGTTCGCATATTGTCATGTTGCACATTACGGTCCGACAGTAGACATTCGACTGCGTATTTAACTTCAGACATTGACACTTGATAGGTGTTGGCCCGCGAACCTGCAGCATTCTGCCATCCAGCCCCTCGTGAAATTCAGATGCCGACCACTACATTACAGCATTATGGACAAACATTTGAAGAGTACGGGGAAGCTAGAGGGAAATGAAATCACCCATAAGTGGAAAACAGGCCCAGCCAATGATTGGCGGGAGAGAAACTCGCTCTTATCTCGTGTTGTTTTCCTCGTATTAGACATTATTAGTCGCAATAGTTATGGTAAGAAGAAAACAGCGAGACGTACACTCTTAGAAAATTCCGAGCGTTTGGGGAGTAAAAAGTGAGCACACCTTGAGCTTTTCGAATTTACTCTCTTATTACTCACCGAATGCTCCCTCATCGCTCGTATTGAAGTGAACACCTTGAAGTTCTTCGCCAGGCCACTGGTAAGGGTCTTGCTTTTCGCACAGCACGCAAGAGATCCCTTCCCTCTTTCCCTGGAATCGTCCCTCGCAGGATTGTTTAGTACCTTGCCATATGTCTCGCCTAGTCTCATTATAGAAATCAATAAACACGGACACTTCATCGTTTGTTATCCATATATTCGAGACATATTCATAGAGTTTTCTAATGCATTCAGCAGCTTTGCATACTGCATCCTCGAAGTTCAACATAATTTTCCAAACTGAAATTATTCTACATCCACTTGAAAGGCCAGATATTTTTCAACACAATCTTGTAATCCTTTGCAACTTTTTCATCCCGAACTTGTCCAGAATGACATAATACGGTGAAACCTGAGTAATGCGGCCGGAAGGGAAACTTCATTAGTTTGACGTGTATATAAGGGTGGCCTTTATAAGAGTGAATCCCCCTCCCCCATATGACTAGGCATCGAAAGCAGTAAGTAAACTTCAGATGCCGATGATCGTTCTCTTGATATTGAAACTGCAGAGAAACTGACCTAGGCGGAGAAGCGACCGGTCAATGTGAGGAAGAGGAAGAGATGCTGGCGAGAGGGAAGGAGAGGATAAAAATAAGTAGATAAATAAATGCTCTCCGAATCCTGACTGTAAGGCACGGAAATGAAAGAAAGAAGGAAATGAACCTACGTTCTCTCAATATTCTTCCAGAGTTCCGACTGGATTGAGGACTGAACAGTAGGCCTATATTGGGTCTGTAAATCCTTGGTCATTGACCGTGTTGACCCTGATAGATCAGGTCATGTCAACATTAGCTTATGGAGTCAACGATCGAGACAGAGCACGAATTGGCTGCAGTTAGTAGGTGGCTGAAATATCAAGATACTTTTATATCAAGTTTCACCTTTCTATCTCTGGTCAATTCGGTAGGACTAAAAAAAATTATTTAGAAATTTCACCCCCCAAAAGTGTGCCCCCAGGGCATGCATCTGAAATTTGACATTTTCCCTGACTGTGTCTCAGTAGGCATGTCCATGCCAAGTTTCAGCTTTCCATGTCTCTCCGTTTGACTGAAGCAAATATAAATAATTGAAAACATCTCCCCCCTAAATGAGTGCCCCTAGGGCATGTACCTCCAAAGTCAGATTTTTTCTGAACTCTGCATCCAAAAAGGTACACGTGTACCAAGTTTCAGATTTCTAACTTCTCTAGAACATGCGTCAGTCATGATCGTCTATATATATTAGATGCCATGTAGAGTAGCGATATATTTTCTCCCCCCCCCCCTCCCTCCAGTTCATTGTTTCGGTTGTTTATCAGTATATTCTCGCGACGCCAGTAGCGTATGCAGGAAATCGGTAAGGGGGGGGGGGGGGGGGGGGGGGGGGGGGGGGGGGGGAGAGGGGGTGGCAGGAAAAGGGGGGGGGGGGGGGGGGGGGGGGGGTTGAGGTCAGGTAGACCTTACGCCTAGCTCCTCGACCCGGAATTTACCTTTTCAAAGAAATCATGGTCTTGCATCTTGGGTCTGTGGACAGACATCAGACTTTCCTCAAAGGGGCATAGCTGCCCCCGAGGGCTTACGTACAAACCTGCAGCGCGATAGGACCTCTATCCTGCCTTCCAGCCAATGAGAGCCCTCCTCTCAAAAGCGAAGGAAGCAAGGTCATCCCAGGCAATAACAGGCGCACCTCACCTTTCATGAACGACCCCAGTACCCTAGCAGTTCGACTTTGCATCAATCAGGATTAGTGATGGCATTGGGGGGGGGTCAACAGTAATATTAATTTTAAAATAGCAGGAGGAAAATTGTCTAGCAAACTTTATTCCATTCTTTAACGTAATTGCGAACACGAAAAGCTAGACACCACAACGGTCTTCCACCTAAAATAGTTTAAATGCTATTCTCGAAAAACTGCATGTATCTTTGCACTTTTCGGCTTTCATCTCCAACAGGGCTGGGCATGGCCCTTCCACCCCATACCCGTACGGGGTGACTAAGGGATCTCCCCCAGTTGGAGCTCAAAACAGAAAGGAAAATCGTACTTTTCATTTCTTTCGTGAAGCAGCATTTTCTTTTCAATTTTCCATGTGCCTTTGTTGAAATTTCGCCATTCTTGGGGGGGCGTTGCCCCCTCAATAATATAGTTGGGGGGGCACGTGCCCCTTTGCCCCCCTGGGTTCGGCGCCTATGCCAGAGATACGGTATCCCAAAATAAGAAATAACACTTTTGGAGAAAATCGGATTTGAAGTTTCACTTAACTAATTATTAGCAACTATTCGGAAGAGGATGCCTACAAAATCATCATTTTTGGGGGCAATGGGAGCCGATATTCTTCATAGCTTCGACGGAATGGGATTGTACACGTTTTCCTAACTGAAAACGACGAAAATCTGAAAAAGTAAATTTTTCACCAAAAACTCGAAAATTTAAAGGAGGTTTCACTCAGCCGATTCCCTTAAGGGGAGATCCCCCGTCTCCCCTTAAGGGAATCGGCTGAGTGAAACCGTAAGGTGGTCGGTCGGAAGGACGACTTCGCGCTAAATTTTCAAGATAAAAAACTCAGCTAACAAAAAATTCACTTGATTGATCAGTTGCTTACAAGACCGTGTGAAAATGCTGTGTTTTGTGGATCAGCCAAAAGTTATAAGTTTGAGTTTTTTTTCTGTCAATGTATGCTGCAGGAATGAATAGCTCTGTGAAGACACAATACAATGGCGTGGACGTTATTGCTGTTTTCTCGGGTACTCTCGTGATCTGAACTGCGACCTCTGAAGAAATCAGTCAATATTTTCTTGTGTCAATGTTTTGACAAGGAACCCCACAACACGAGGTAACGCATGGTATATAGGCGAAAGAAAAAAAGATTTCAGTCTCACTTACCCCGACATTTTCGCTCTCATTTTTTCAGTCAAAAACTTGCGTTAATAAATGTGGAGATTGTATAACTGAAGGAATTATGCTCTTGCATTTGCACATGTACCAAAATCTTTCTAACAGGTAAAATTTATCAGACACCATTCCTCAGGCTTACCCAAAATGACACGATGCTTCATGCGCTCACCTTTGGTTAATACAATGTCACAGTTTGACGATGCAGTCTAGAAATGAACTCAGTATACTAAAGTCTCTTGTGGGAAATGCAAGGAAAATAAATAGCATGACTCTTTTGTTCATTTTTATTTTTCTTTCTCGGACAAATCACCTCTACAGTACATTCTGCTCTTCCAAGCCAGTGAGAACTCGCTCATAACTCCCACACAGGCAAATGGCAATATAACAAATGTTAGTGGCAGGGCTACACGGTATACCTACCATAACAATTAGATCCATTAGTTAGAAAATTTTTATGAAAAACTATTCCCACTTGTAAGCGTTTGGTGCTCCTGGGTTGCACCAGTTGTAATATGAGCTAAGATCACAAAACGGTAAAAAGTGCAAAAGAAGTTCCTACATCATAAAATGCTGAAATCACATCAGGCAGTAACATAAGGGCAAGCTTAATACCATTTTCATGTTTTTTCTCAAGTTGCAAAACCTGACTGCTATGAATTGAAGATGCAGAATAATTTTTTGCATTGAAGTCAATCATGAGAGAATTTGCTAGAGGTTGGGCAAGGTTTGAATGTTCTGAAATTCATACAAGTGAACATACATCCATCAGCACCTATTGTAGTTCTGCTGGCATACCTCATCAAGCCCTGAGGCATCTCCTTGGAAGAAAATATTTATGCAGCACAATACTACGATTTGGACTTCGTGTTGACTACCTCATCAACATCTTACTTCACATGAAGTATATTCTCATAACTCTATCCTTGGAGTGGAAGAGAGCAGGCCACCACGAGCTCACTGAGGATTTCAGAGGTAGACACTCCAAAGGTTTATGCTTCTACCAACTGAGAGTGAATACCAAACGAGAAATTGAGTGCATTATGCATCAATTTGGACCTTCATTCTAATGTATTATGCAAGTTGATTATCTGATGCAAAATTCGCCATGTCTCTTGACTATGAATATTAGATTAAAGGCTCTTGATGTCTTATGCAAACACTTAGAAAATTTAGTGCTAGTCATTTTCAGTATTGATTTTTCCCTGATGGAACTACATCACAATAAGACAAACTGTTGCAATATTCAACTTTCATTGAGTCATGAGTCTCATCTTCTCCTTCATCCAAGGTGGTGCAGCTCTAACCAAAAATTTATAATAGAGGCAGTCAACTATGATGGCTCTACATTTGAGATGGGAAGGGCTCTTATTTGCAAATGACATCCATCACAGTTGGCTGTATCATCCATTAGGAGAGGGTCTATCAGCCATGGTGCTTTCCCATCTCTCAGCAGATGAATCTGAGAAACTGGAAGCACATGAGTCACTGAGGGAAATCCCAACAGCATCAATGGCATCTGGCTCCCCATCAGAATCCACATCAAGCATGTGGGAATGAGGAGAGTCAGAACCAGCATCACCCTTTTCTGGTGATGGATATTCATCCAAGAAATTAAAGCTCTTCAGTGCCTCTTCCTCTTGCATTCCATAACGGAAAAACAGAGAAGGACGATCTAAGATTGAAGGCCTCTGTGCAGTAAGTATGCGAACAAGACCATCACCCTCTCTCATGATCCCTGCATGGAAATGACAGAATGGTAACCATCACAATATCCTCATCAAAACCCCTCACATGAGTACTAGAAGTGCTTACATTTCCTATGTCTCCTTTGCTGATGCATCCTTCTCAGCTGCTGGTGCTCAGAGAAGTCATTTTCTGTATCTGTTTCCATGTCATCACTGCTAGTGAAGACCATTGCATCAAGCAAGTTTGCTCTTGTCTGCGAGATGAACAAATACATTATAGCCACCAGGTTAAAAAACTATCTCATGACTCTCAGCATTAGTTCATATTTATTTTTTAGTGAGGTTAAGCTCACCTGAGGATCAGTGAGGTCAGAAGGAGGATGAAGATGGACCCAGGAAGTCTCCTGGCATGCTGAATCTAGGTCTTCAGGTTGACCCATTCTCTCCTGATCTTCATCACCTACATCATCTGAGTTACCAAGTTTTTTCAACTCTTCCAACATCTCTCTCACAGTCACAAGCTTTTGAAGAGAAGTGTTACCCTCTGAGGTCTGGGATTCCACACTCGAGAAGTGTGGATCATCCAGCTCCCTCTCTCGAGCATGGCAATAATGTTGTTGCTCAGCAATGAACTTGAGAACAGAAGCAAGTGCCACCTCTCGATCTGGAGGTGGGATATCACCATCATCTTGACTAGACTCGTAATGAAGGAGGGATCCAACTTCTGAGAGGGCCAAGCTCTTTAGAGATGAAGAAAGGCTCTTGTTGCTCTCAAATGTGATCAACCTATAGAAATCTCGCTTGAAATCCATCTCCAGGCAAGGAACCTCTGTATCCAGATCTGACATGGTTTCTTCCAAGGAGGAAGGGATGTTCTCAAGCTCAGGAGAATTGATGTCTGTTGTGGCTTTTGGGGGTAGATTCCACTCAGAATCACAAGAAGCATTGGGCTCATAGTCATAGAAGGAGTACTGATCCCAATCTGGAAAAGAGATATAATGTCCATGTCCACCTGTAGGATGTAACTTTGACAACCATGACTGTTCTTCACCTTCAATGACAATGGAGGGTGGGCTCCTTTCATACAGGCCACGAGGAACACTCAAGTCAGAAATGTCTGATCCTGATGGCATATCTTCATTTGACAAATGAAGACTCCACTCTTCAAGCTCAGATTCATTGTAGCAATGAGAATCACAGACATAATTGAGACCACAAGGAGCTGGTGTTGGGGATTCACTGCTCCATCTCTTTCTTTCATCCAACCTCAAGTCTTCAGCAGACAAAGAACTCCAGCTCTCATAGAGAAACTGCCTGAGACTGTTCTTGGCTTTGCTCCTCCTCAATGGATGGGAACATGCAGGGTTGGGGAGTAGTTTGGGGGGGATGTTAAGATCTGACATAGAATGTTCAGGACCCTGAAGGGATTCAGGGGCACTGATGCCAGTCAGATGTGGATGTGAATGACTTCTGCAATGCAGGGGTAGAGAAGGTTTCACCATGGTCACAGGATAACTGAATCGGAATTCAGGGCTCCTCTTGGACAATAATGGAATGTAGAAGATGTCCAAGTCCTCCACTTTCAAATCATTGACCAGCTCCACAGTGGGGCCCACATCTAAATAGGACTTTAACTCAGTAGTTCTCTCATGCCTGGGGTGGAAGATTTCTGTCTTCACTGAGGATGTAGTGGAAGATGTGCAGACAGAATGTGGTGTGGTTACCCCCAAGTCATCTGAAAGCCATGAATGAATCAAAGGCTTGTATAACACTTGAACAGCATGAATGGAATAAGCATTGTCACTCTGGAATGGAGTCACTTCAGGTACCAGCAATGGAACAGAGCTCCCTTTGCCACATTTATCTTCACTCATTTCCCCCTGTTTTCCCAGCATGACTTCAGATTCACTTTTACAGCACCAAGACTTGCAGGTGGCCTCGGCAGGAGATCGATTTTGGTCTGGACCAAGATCTGAATGGTCACTGCAATCTCTTCCATCTGTTGGAGCATCACTAGACATTGTGGAATAACCTTCATCTCGATTGCTATTCTCGGTCAATGATGGACTCTCAACATTCACCTCTTCACTTTTCAAGGCAGGGTCACAATGAACATCAGAAGACTTGGAAGCCTTGGAATCGAAAGACACCTTTCGCAGGGTTTTCGATGAGGAGGGCTTCACACCTACACCAGAGGAATGAAAAAAGCTGCGAGAGGCAGGAGGAGTGACAGTTTCAGACTGTATGCAGGATTCTCCCAGACTTATGTCTTCAGTCAATCTTGATTTCTTCATGTCCCTTTTGCAGTCAACTTTCTGCCAAAAGTTTAGCTTAGCTTGAAACTCCAGCTTGTGGCCAGGTGCAGGGATCACACAAGACCCTTTAGACTTTGCTTCTGTTTCAGAACTGGCCTTGTAGGAAGGCTGTTGACCTGTCCATGCCTGAGTAGTGATAAGATTGTTGGAAGACTCCAGAAGGGGGTGAGATGTGGACACAGATACTGATACAGGGGTAGGGGTACAAGTGGGAAGAAGACCTCGACCAAGAAGCAGTTGGGTGCACCTTGGGATTCCACTCCCATCACAAACTGGGACATGTATCTCCTTCCCTTCTGTCACCTAAAGAGCAATTATTTAAAAACTTATTATTGGCATACAAAAACACAAAATTAAGTGAATGAGGATATCAGTCTTTGTTAATTGGTTTCTCACAATTTTAGAGAAGAGGTGAGTCTACAATTTCAGCATACATGGGCAATAACAAAGTAAATGTCAAGCATTACAGCACAAATTATATTTTTGAGAAACTTGAAGGCTAACAGGCAATAGATTACATCCAGGTTCTTGTAATGGGAATGAATTCTATTTTAGTTCAAAATGTAACTGCAGTTGCAGTAACTTGATAATTCTGCACAGATTTGAATTTGTCTTCATTTTCCTCTTCTTTTCCCTACTTTTTTTTCCCAGCCATTGCTTGTCCCTATACCCTCTTTCCCACCAAACCATTATTTCCCACAGTCAACAAGAGGTCAGTGAGGTTTAAAAAAGCACCAAAATGCTGAAAACATACATCTTTATGGGTGCCAAAGAATTTTCCTGCATATATACCAATCTGCAACAGCATACCTTAATTTAGGTATTCTGATTATCAATTCATAAAAGTATCTTGAAATGTAGCAATAGGAAGTAGTCATTCTTATATAAATTACTTTCACATAAGATTCATTTATAACTGGAGAGAACATGTGACTTTAGGAGCATAACAGTAGTATGCCCAGAAAATCCCAATGGGGATCCCAATTGACATGAAAAATAGGTAACCCACCCTGCATTTATGGCTAAATTAAAACATTTTTGAGAATCAAACCTGTAAAATGTATCCCCAAGGGGGTTATGACCCCCATAACCCCCCCCTCTCCCCCCCTTGGGCACACCACTGGAGCATAATGATATTGAATGATTGTAGAATCAATATCCACTTGAGTTTAAGTTACAGTGTCAAACTATGTTGATTTAAGGTAGAGTCAATGTTTCTTGCATTGAATTCATGTAATCTTTGGAACAATAGTGAATGCAAATCTTCTGCAAATGCACATGCATTCAATATTTTTTGTCATGGTTCCTGATCATCATTCAGGTCATAACTGAATGTGTCCCCCTGTTTTCATGTACATGTGTTTGGGCTATGAATCAAAGCCATTAGACCATTTGTTGCATTTGAGCAAGGCCTGCAGCTTTTTAATTAGCAGGGAAATAACAGATAGAAAAGTACAAAACAATATGCTCATTGGGACTTGGAACTTGGACAATAAAACAAAGAGAGGATTTTTCATGTTCATTCAAAGGGATCTCAGAAATAGTAATAGAGTAACAGTGATATCAGCACCTGTTGAAGAGTTGGAAGGAACAAACTGCACTTGGAATGGACAGAAGAACCCCCACTGGCAAGAAAGGTGCTAGGAATCACTTTCCTGGTTGGACAAGGCAATTTACTCCTGGACAGCTTCTGATCTGTCACCTGTTGAACATTCATCACATGATACTAATCATGAAACAGTCATGATGTCCATCCTGTACCTAGCCTTGAGTTTACTCACAGGGATCCCTGAGGTATTGACAGATGTGGCACTTGTGGAAGAATGGGGAAGAACGAATGGAATAGAATCTCTGCACAAAGCTGATTCACCTACTGGACTGATCTGAGAGATACAAGATACAACCATCATTGTAGTCTGAGGCAACTGGATACTGGCAGAGAGAGACAAAAAGCAAAGAGCCATGCCTGAGAACATTGAATTTCGAAGGGAAAGGTTTGTTTCTCACAGATGGGACCCTTGTTTTCCTTCTTGTATTCCTCTCTTCCTTCTATTGCTGAATGCAGCACTTTCACCTTGAGCATATCCAAAGTCTTTTGATGTGCCTGCAACAATACAAAATTTACACATTTTCCACTATGCTCTCCTTCCTATAAACCAGCAGTAATATTGATGAGAAAATGTTTCTGAGAGTGCATTTGAATAAAATAATGGTGCCAGATTGATTTCATACATGCTGCTTGCACATCTCATTGATATCTCTGTCGCTCTTCTGAACGATTTTTTCAAATAATGAAAGCCATAAAATTTCCTAAATACAAATATTCAAATTATTGACACCAAATCAGATCTTCTTTAGCAAGATATCCTGCCACCTTTGGCCTTCAAAACTACCAATACCAGGTGCCACATACCCTTCATCAACTTCTGATAGGTCTCTGCAGGTATTTTATTTCTTAGGCACTGAAGAGCTGAAGAGCTAAGTACCTGAGCATGGCAGCTAAGGCTCTGAGAAATGGGAAGAGGAACGTACAGAATTCCTTTCAAGATCCTTCACTTCTTCCCCTTCTAAGTCAGCAACTTTCACCTGAAGGTGACTCACTTCCTCTTGCAAGGACTAAATTGAAAAGAAAAGGAGGGAATATAGTTGGACATGTGATGACTGGGACTGGTAAGTTTTATGTGCTGGAGTCATATTAAATAATCTCTCTTTTTCTCCTCATGCTTTGTCTTAAGGCTAAGTGAAAGTAGGAAAGAAGGTTTAACTCTTTCAGATGCATGGATGAATGTACAGGGTGGACCAAAAAAAGTAAGCCACTTTTAATTTTGCTATAAAATTCATATATTGAATGGATTGACTTGGAAATTTAGTGGAACATTGTCTAGTATGTTCTTCAAGAGTTGTTGAAGTTTCATGCACCTTCAGTCATCCACTCTTGAGTAATGGCAGGTTTTGTCAAAATGGTAGAGAGTCTGAGAGAATAGGCATGGTGAAAAACACACATTTGACAATGTCCTGTTAAGTTTTCATGAGGATCTGTTGAGAGAAACAGATTTAAAAAAAAATAGAAATCAAATGTGGATTCATGCCTCACACCAGCAGTCACATGCCTGTTCACTCCGAATTTTGACCATTGTGACAAAATCTGCCACAATTCAAGAGTGGGTATCCCAAGGTGCACGATACTTCAACAGCTCTTGGAGAACATAATAAACAACACACTATTAAATCTTCAAGTCAATCCATTTGAGAATATGGCTTTTATAGCAAAATTAAAAGTGGTTTTCTTTTTTAAAAAGTGAGAATGCAGAAATTCATGTGTAGAAGAGGCTCAGTGGTATAAGTAACTGTCTGAATGCTCACCAACTTCATGAGTGCTTCTACATCACATCTCACCTCTGATGGGATACAATGCCTTTCATATCAATGCTATCCTACAATTTTTTTCTTTAGAAGGTATCAATAGCCAACATATGTTCTCCTTTGATTTGATTTTACTGATCCAGTAGCTTTTCTATGAAAAGAAATCTCTTGCCAGAGTGAAATCCTGGCTGAGAAGAGCCATTTTCATACATACCCTGGTATCTTAGTCATGAATTAGAATTGAAAGATATCATCTGAAATTTGCCAGCACTGGGTTGCATTCTTGACAAAACCCTCTGGCAAGCAAAAAGCTAAAACCCCAAAATCATTGGACTGGACATTTATGTCATATCCAGATTAAGACAGACAGTTTCCTGAAAGGCATTTAAAAATTGAAGATCATTCATGTGCTACAGGAACACAATTCCCTCTCCTATGGAATGAGAATGAGATAGGGGAGACCAGTATAGTAAGAGATATGACAAATAGCAGTAATATAATTTTACATTTGAAATTTGACATTTTCACTACTTTCACTCCAACATATTCCCTATACATCCATTGAGCAAGGCTTGTGGTACAACGTTTCCAGTAAAGTTACTGAAAAGGAGGAAGGCTACTGGAGAAAAGATATACACTGTAGTATTTATTAACTGTGATTTGTGTTCTTCGGTAAGCATAACACATTATGATAATAATATAGACCTCCTGTTAATATTGCTTGCATGCCCAATGATGGCATTTCAAGCTGTTCTATGATCATTGCTACAATTGGCCCTGTATGCAATAGATCACACAAAATCAAAGGACTATACATGGTAGAAGCTGTAACTATTACTCTCTTATCAGGGTAACAAGAGACAGTACCATTGGGGGAAAGAGGGACTTATAATATTTTTAAATAAAAAATAAAATATAACTAACGATTGAGCTGTCAGTAAGAGAAATATCAAAAGCATATTTATGTCTAAGTTCATGGACTTCAGATGATTAGTTTAGCTTTCCTTCAAATACAAATGGAAATAAAACTTAATGAAAGTGAAGGTTTTTTTTCCACTTAATATTACTTCATCATCTCTTTTAGAAAAATCCATAAAAGAATGACAATTGTTGATAGAGATATGAACAGGGATATAAGAAGGAGGCCACTTTCTCACAATTGCAGACCATGAAATGAAGGACAGCTTTGAAAAGTTTTAAAATAAAGCATAGTGGCAAAATGTACTAAGTAAGTTGGAAATGATAATTTCCAGGACAGATAGGGTCTCCTAGTTAGAGTTCTGCAGTTCTTTTTTAATTGAAAAAATGTTCTTCAAGTATTATAGAAAAGTAAAACTCCTCCAGTTATTTTGGAAGGTTCTATTTGTTGATTTTAATGGTAAAGCTTTGCATTTCTGCAAATTCATTATAACATGACAAGTAGAAGAATGGGTAGTGGTTAGTTACTTGAGAATAAGAGGATAGGCCATATCATGCAAGGTGACAGGGACATGAATCTGAAACTCTCCCTGGGGAAGACTGCTATGATATTTAGACTTCTCTCTCATACACTCTTACATAACGTTGAACATATATTATGTTAACAGTAAATATTCCAAAGACTCTAAAAAAGCAAGCAATATTTTGATTGAACATGATATTGCCACTGATTTTTGATCCAAGCTGCCAGTATGTTGGTGGTATGGAATAATTTTCTAGCAAAATGCATGAAGAAAACTTTCCTTATTACATATAAGTATTCCCAAGCAGCACATGACATCCATCAAAATGACATTGCAGTAATGTCACATGGACATCATTTAGATGTATGTGTTTCTTGGATTGTGAATGAGAGGAAACAAAGTGAAATTTGTCCCTTAATATGCATAATGAAATAATACATTCCAGTCCAGCAAGGAAAAGATATACAACAAAAAAAAAAAATTCCTTCAGAAGTTGACATTTTTTCCCCTAAGTCTGAGAAAAAGTGTAAAAGTTGTTCCTTCTACCATTTAGTGCCATGCCAGAGCAATATACCACATAGGGCTTAGGTTGTAGAGTCATAGCAGGAGCAAGAAATACTTTCTTGATGATTTGCTTTCCTAGATTGGGAGCATTGCTCGTGTGAATTCCACATATCTTTTCCAATCCATTGTGGATACCCTTGAAAGATTGAAGGGCTGGCTAGATGGCATCGAATTTGCAACATTCAGAGGCAATAAGACAGAACCAAGGGCTCCTTGTTTCTTGATGCTTATAGGTTGCTTCACCATTTCCACATTCTTTCATTCATAGAGCAGATACCTCATACCAACAAAGGGCTCACCAAAGAGACAAAAAATTCATGCTTTTCCTGTAAATTATAATAAAGAAATTCTTAAGCAAAATCAAAACTATAAGATGCCATTGGACACATTGTAACATGCACCCAAACATTGCAGATTCCTGAATATGAACTTTATAAAAGTTGAAGTTTTACATTAGAAGAGATGAAAGACGCTGAGAATAGAATGGTATTCAAGGAAAGCTTACCTTCTGAAGAAGCAATGCTTGAACCACCTGCTGAGCCACATCATCCAAGCACTTGTCATATTGAGCTCGTGTTGCTTCCAATTCAGCCCTCAGGGAGTCTCTCTCATTCTCCAGGCTCTTGATCTGTGCTAAGAGAACTTCCCGCATATTTGCATCTTCCTGAAACAAAAGGGAAAAAAGAAAGTAAGAATGGGGGAAGTATTGCTTACATGGCAAGACCTGCATCCCACAGATTAAAAAAGAAATATTACAGTGGACATCATACCTCATGCTTCTCCTTCAATAAATCCATATGAGTCTGAAGCTCCTTATTCTCACTTCTGGTTCCTTCCAACTCTGCTGAAAACCTCTCCAAATCCTCCTAAAGAAGATACGAATTAGGGCCAACTTCCACTTAGAGACAGTGCTGTCACATAATGTCCATTTTGCTCACTTTACACTGTTGCAGGGTGCTGGAATCTACACGAAGGTCTTCCACCAAAGTCTCTAGTCTGCAAATTAAAAAAAAGACACCAGCTTGGGTAAGCCGCTTCGCTAATCTTCTAATATGAACTGATATAAGGAGTGAGGGAATAAACCTTTTGACTTCAAGGAGAAGGGTTTCTTTCTCTGGCTTACAAACAGCATGCTCCTTGCTCAGCTTCTCCAATCGAGATTCTATCCCGGGCCCCTAAAACAAGCACGGAGTAACGAAGCTCTAAGGATGGGTTTACGCATGATAGTATACTCGCATGAAGTTACTTGTGGAAAGATAGTTCCCATAGATAGACAACTACTGTCCATGAGAGTATTTTCACGGAATAGGAGTTTACAATATACCTTGTAAGTAATCGCGCAGATAATGGTCGTCTATGGAGACCATCTCGCACAGGAATAACTTTTATGCGAGTGCACTACCATGTATAAACCCACCCTAGGAGCGAGTTTACCCAAGCGAATGTACCCACATTATGTGTCTTATACGAAAGGACGCCAGGGTTTTTGCAAGCTTTCGTAAAAGAGGTGAAACCTTCTCTTCTCTTTTAAGGAAGTAGGTTGTCAATGAAGACCACCTAACGCGCGAGTAATGTGCATGAGTGCAAGATCGCACGTATAAACTCCCTTTAACGTTAGGGTTGAAACATCATGTAAACGTTAGGGTTTGGTACACCGTGTAAGCCTACCAGTATAGCTCATCGCTGTATGGAAATTAGAAAATAGGTAATAGGAGTTCGTGGCGGATATCCATCCTTCATCGTACGGATCCACCTGTTTATTTTGCACGGGGATCCTGTAAATCTCGTGGAATGGCTCCTCTTGGATGAGCTATGGGTACCAGCCAGTTAATGAGCCCGTATTTCAACTGGAGTGAAAGATGAATCGAGGCATTCAGACACCTCCGACCCAACTGTCCTCGCCCCTCTTGCCTTCCTTATGTACTAAGGGAAAATGCTCGGCATTCTCTCGACAGGCGAGAATGCGGATAATGAACATGAAAGGTTTCTTTGTGGACCGGTCCCAGACCTGTCGTGATCTTGCGTCACTTTTGTAGCGCTACCACTACTCCTTCCTCGTTCTTCTCGAGTCCACCTGTCTGGGGTCATTAGGTTTATTTACAACCAAGGAAGTCGCTCACTCCAATTTTTTAAAGTGCCCCGAATGAAAAACAAGAAGAAAAAGGAGGGAAAAAATTAGGAAACCTTGTGGTCGACTATTCAATCGAAAACAATTAGCAAAGGAATAGCATTGCGCTACTCATTATTGCCAGTAGGAAACTGAGTTTCACATCACAATGTACCGTGTCATGGCAAGAATTATCTCATGTGGTTCAAGTGCATGTTTGGCCTTGTTTGTATCCATACGAAAATTTTCCCGTTCCACCCAGCTTAAAATCCCAGCTGGAAATAGCTATAATTTCCAACTGGACCCCAGCTGTAAATTCGGACCCATTTCAACTGGGTAACAACCGGAAAGTACAGCTATTCCAGATTGGTTCCTATTTGCGATACCATAGTTGTATGAGAAATTTTTTGCTGGCTCTTCTTGCTGGAAGTCCATCTACAGAAGCAGCTGAATTTCACTTGTGAATTCAGCTGCATTCCAGCTAGAGGGTCCTCTGTTTAAAATTATAATTGGAAATTTCCAGCTGGAAATATTGTTATTATAATAGCTATATAATAGCAATAGCTATTAAAACCAGCTGCATTCCAGTTGGAAATTTTCAGCTGTAAAACAATCTGCATTTACAATTTTCCACCTCTTTGAAATGGTCCGAACTTACAGCTTTGGTCCGGCTGGAAAATTCCAGTTGGGATTTTTAACTGAGCACTGCAGACGGGAAAGATCAACAGACCAGACGAGGTCACATAGTCACAGACATTCAGGAAGGAAACGTAAAGCCATACACGAGAAATTCCTGAGGCCCGTTTCCTTTTCAGCTTCTCTTCCCGAAGTGCTCTTTCCAATGCCCGTACCCTCATCTCCAGTTCCAGCTGCAAAATCATAAGACAGAAAATGTGAGGGAAAGTAAGAGAGGGAGAGGGAGAGAAAACTCTGGTATAATGAGAGACGAGAGGTTGTGGCCGAAGCCTCCCTCCAAGTAGCAACAGGTGAAAGATGGCAGTTTTATTCATGAGATAGCGGAAAGATGGCTCCATTCATTACGGCATTAGGCAATCATGAGCACTAGTAACGTTGGGAAGCTCCTCGTTCCCAACATGGCATAGAAATCATCTATGGTTTCACGGGAGAATTTCCAATGAATGAGCTCCACTACGCTAATAATGGATGAGGTGAAATAGGGTGAACATGACGATAACTTCCAATAATGCAGCTCAAGGTCGGGACTTTCATCACTCTACGGCATAAATCCCCATTAACTTCCCAGAGATTACGTGCATGTTTGCAAGTACTCAGTGCCTGGAGGACAAATAACGACACATTACGTGATCCTCGTTCACTCCGGGAATCAAATGCCAGTGGTATTATGAGGCAAGTGCCTTAGCCCTCTACTCCTGACCTGGTTGGATGAAAGTTGACCATGTTATAACTGCCGTCATATTTATAAAGAGATCAATTTAGAGGTTTCGAGTAAGCCTGTCTGACTGAATGAAAGACTACCATTTAAGAGTGCCAAGCAGTAGGAACTTAAAGGTTACAAACTGGTTTTTTTTTTACTTGTATTTTTTTCTTTGCTCGTTCTTCAAAGGTATTCTATTCTCAAGGGTCAGGAAGTTAAAAAAGAATCATAATGAAAGATAGCCCTTCCTTATACAACTTTCCACCCCGAAAACTCAGATTCATGCACACGTATGAACTCCAAAATAGGTACATCTATACTCCCTTCCCTCCTCGTTTCTGAGTCTACCAAGCCTCATCAGCAACTGTCCTGCGCTTTTAGAGATTTGAAAGTCAGTGATTGGGGATCGGTGTCGTTCTTGCACATACTTATCGAACATCGTTCAATATTTCTTAAGCGAACAAGACGAGATATATACTGTATAAAAATATATAACACTTTCCCCATTCGACAACGCAAACACCAAGCGAGTTGGGGATCTCATTTTTAATGACAGGGAGCTTCCTTTTACAGGCAATCATCACCATACAGTGCAGGCAATCGTCTGTAAATTTCAGTTGATTTTATTTCCTTGTTGGCCAGAAATTTCGTAATGATTCGCTGTTCCACCTCCTTTGTTTCCTCTACCTAGTTTGATTTTCAGCACATATATTAAAGCAGGAAACTCGTGATTGTTAGTATGGGTTACCAACACTATAGAGACAAATTGTTCTCAAAATGATTAATCTACATACATTACTCTGCCTTTTATAAACAAAAGTGCACGAATTAATTGAACACCCCTTGTATATAAGCCAATCTATTAAACTATTGCATATTCAATATTGCGACTATATTGACTCAGATCTTGACTCAATATAGGGAACATGTAATCTAAAGGGTGATTAATAAGTGATTGCAAAAACCTTTTTTTTCAGATTTATTTTTGAACTTTTACTGCATTAGATGCTGACAGCCCATATGAGGGTTTTCGCCAATGGCATGCCAGCTGATAGTACAGCAGAAAGACAGAGGTTGTTAGCTGTTTCGAGGTGTGACACTCCTACAGCTGCCCAACAGTAATGGCAAGGTCAAGTAAATCAAACCACGCCAAACTGATTATTGGAAGTGTAGCTGATGCACCTTTGGAAGACTCTGGCGAGTACATTGTGATGATAATGTTGATGTGAGGGGCACATGTTCTCACATAGTCCCAAACAGTCAATTCGTAAAGTATGAGAGTGAAATTAGTTTTTATACTCTTCAAAGCATGGGAAGCAAGGATGATTAGCAGTTCTGTCCATGAAAGCCATGCCACTTACATGGCATAAATCCAGAAGATATGGATAGATGCCAAGAACATGGAGAAATTGAGGTAGCCCCTTTCAGAATGACACTAGTTTTCTCAATCACAATTGTTTTTGCTGGGGTCTTTCGGAGGAGGATCCCAAACACATCTTGCAAAATCATCCAAAACTAACTGGTATGAAATATTGAATGAGCGACTCATTGGAACTTTCATTTTACAAGAAACAATGAACTCTGCCTATTACTTGAACATGCTCAATAAATATTTCATGCTTATTCCATCAGACAATAAAAAAAAGGATGAACTTTTACTTCATGCAAGATAATGCACCTCCCTATTATGAAAAAAATTGAAGAAAAAAAAACTGAATGAACTGGAAGGATTCATCAATCATGAAACCATGCAGATTCTAACCACTACGCTCCAATATATTGTTTAACACATGGAAAAAAGGTTGTGGATATATGCTGAACAAGCCAGGGGTTATATGAAAACTTGAAGCCTTTGAACATTTTGGTAGAGAAATTTTAAGCCTTTCATTTTGTTTGTGGTGTGCCACCATTTTCACGTAGAATACACATTAGTAAAAATATCCCAATTGGTACAAAACTAGGAATAGTTCACTACATAAAATCTACAAATAGATGAAACCACCTCATCTCCCATCTGGTTCTTTACTGCACTGGATATGCATGTCTTTTGGGTGATCTCTACTACCACTCACAAGTTCACCTCCTCTAGAGCAGTGGTTCTCAATCTGTTGTCGGTGGACTACCAAACACACTGATCTTCTATGGGAGTAAAAGGGAGCTTGAGAACCACTGCTCTAGAGGTATAAGACATGGTTTATGCAGACAGGTACAGAGTAGCCCCAAAAAAAGGTGACTGAAATATTTAAGAAGACACCACTCCATTTATTCAAGGTTTTCAGCTTTTCCATGCTTTACTTTTACAGAACCATATGTTTCATACGTTGGACCATTGTTTTTAATATTTCTAGGTAATTAAACTGAAAGATTCACAGACCAATGGCATGTTGAACATGTCCATCATCCCACTACAAACAAAACACTATCCTGTGGACAATGTCATCAACAATACGATTGTAGATGTTTAGAATAATTCCTAAATTTTCAGTCAAACAGACTGAATGAAGTCTGTCAGAATGTCCTGCATCAACGACTAACCACACTCCTGAACCTCAGTGCCAACTGCAGCAAGGTCTTCGTGAGAGGACTTTAATGGAACTTGTCTATTGTGTGTCTAGGTTGTCTGACTAAAAAGCGACAGTAATTCAAAGTGGAGTCATAAAATGTGCCTATTCCACGCATAAGGTAGATGAAGTTTCAGCACCGCTCAAATGATTTTTCTCCCTTCACGCCATTAAGGCTGCGTTTTAGGTCATGTTCTCGTCGTAGTATTCTACGTAATATCGATTCAGATACAACGCCATACGACAGTAGTACTATTATACGACGTAGAATACTATGACAAGGGCATGGCACAGGGTGCGGCAAAAGTTCTGGAACCAACTCTTTCAAAATCTTTTAATGGAAACAAAACGAAAATTCACCGGTTGAAGGAATAATATGATAAAGAAGACATGACAGAACACTGCTTTAGAGATAATTTTCAAAATGACCGCCTTTGACTTTAATGAGAGCGTTCAAACGATGAGGAAACTGGTCGACGATGGAGCGCAACTGCGTTTCGTGGATTTCCTCCCAGGCACGGAGCCTGATCGCGCTTCAATGAATCCACACTTTTGTTAGCTTTTGAGGAAACTTTTTGCTGCAGCATTGCCCAAACGGAATAGTCCATTGGGTTCATGTCGAGCTAGTTGGCCATCCATTCGTCCGGGGGTGAAGAATCTCGGACAATTCTTTCGGAGAAACTCTTAAGTGATCTTGGCTTAGTGGGATGGTGCAGAGTCCTGTTCAAAAATCCATGCTCTTTGCCCAAAATGTTGTTGCGCCCACGGAACGAGGACTTCCTCCAAGACAGTCTCAATGCTAATTTGAGTGCTGATTTTGACGCCGCTCTGAATGAAGACCAGTGGAGTCGTTCCAGTTGCGCAAATCCCTCCCCACACATGATCGAAGGTGGAGCTTGCTGGCTTTGGATGATTCGACGGTCGATATTGCCTGCTGAGCGATTCTGCAGGACACGAACATTTTGCGGGTTGAAGACTTCCTCTGTTGTGAAAAGTTTCTCATCCAAAAAGAGAACCAATCTGTAGTGGCCATTTGGGATCAGACGTTTCATTAATTTCCCTTTGCGAAGTTGTTGTTCCATCATTTTTCAGTCAACCATAGGGCCTTCTGCTGCTTGTAAGGGCGAAGGTGGAGTTCGTCTTTGACGATACGACGCGCCGTTCGTTCGTCGATCTTAAGTTCTCTAGCCATCTTCCTCATTGAAGGTCTTGGATTTATTTTGATCTGAGATAGAATGGCTTTCTTGTTCTATTGAGTGTTCGCGTTTCCTGGACGGCCAGATTTTTGTCGGTCTTCAGCAGTACTCAGCTCTTGAAATTAAACGAGAGCTGGCCACACTTTTTTTCTTTAAATCTCAAGCAAATGTGCTATTTCGACACTTGTCCTTGTGCAGCTTGAGTATTGAGATTCGTTGATCTTGTTTAGACATCTTAAGAAAAGAGGATAAAGGACGGAGAAAAATTTTCAGAAATTAGGCAAAAGCTTAGACATATTGAGAAACGACACTTGAAAACATATTACAATTGACAAACAATTCAAATTCGAGTGAACAAAAATAGTTTTGTAGACAGAAATTATGAAAAAATTCTGGTTCCAGAACTTTTGCCGCACCCTGTAGTGTCTAAGGAGAGAAATAGTTTGAGTAGTGCTGAAACTCCATCCATTTCATGGGCGAAAAAAGTACATTTTATGATTCCTCTTTGAATGACGCTGTCACTTTTATTAAGACAACCTAGACACATGAAACTTTCTGGAAACAAATTTTGCAGTGTTTCACATGTGATACGAAAAAATCACGAACCTAGACGATCCACAGCGGGTATTATAAAGCGTCAAGTAGGACGTAATATTTTTTGCGCCACCCGATATAATATTTTCTCCCAGATCCTGAGGAAGGAGGTGGCATTCGTTCATCGTGGGGGTCTGCAAGTTCTCAAACCACGCATCTCTGCATAGGAATGTCGCACAACCTAAACATATTTTCTACCCCGCCCCCCCCCCTCCAACTTCAATCATCGTGCTTCTGATAAAAGCCTTATAAAAGCTTTTCAAATCGCTGTGGAACGACTGCGGGGACTCAGGGTGAGGATAAGGAAGAAGATGAAGGAAGCTTACTCATCTCTTACCTCTATTTTTAAGCGTCAGCTGTGAAAGAGCCAATGACTGGAGGACTGGATGGGGGAAGAGGGAGAGAGAGAGGGAGAGAGGGAGAAGGAGAGAGTTGGCATCCCACAAGTATCACCTTCGTCATTCAGACTTCTCATTTCATGCGGAGGGGAAACGAGGCATGCCATTGCATAGCGAAGAAACCTGCCATGGGATCATGCCTTGAATAAATTCCATATCATGAGAATGAGACCCCAAGTCTCGTGTAATAGCGACTGCAAAGACCAAGGAGGTCACTAGTTTTCCTACCATGAGCCTGCATCTGTATCATCGTCATCATCAACAACAACAACAAGCACGGTGGTTTATATACCACCACCTCAGGGATGCGAAAAGACATGTTGGTAGGCGGAGAAATCAGCCGTAGACTCAGGTTATTAAACTATACTCTTTCTTTGTATACTTGAGGGAAAGGAAGGCAGGAAGAGTCACTCACCTTGCCAGAATCTCTCCTCTCAAGTCGAGGTTGAGGCTCAGGGGGCGGTTGGCACGACGGAGAATTCTTCACGAACGCGATCTCTCCCTTATTCACGGTAATGTTGGGCATCATTGTGGAGTGAATCACGCCGGACTGGGTTTGAGGTCGAGGAACTGCCTCTGTTCTCAGGCTCTTTCTCTCGTGTTTCAAAACCCCTGGTTGTCCTCGACGACTAAACCCAAGTCTGCTGGCTACAGAGGACCTGGCAAAGTATTCCTGGCTTTCAAACAACATCCAAGTATTTAGTTTTCACAATTAACGAATGATTCTGGAGTCAGATTGCACGGACAGTACATGCAGTACATCATTGCCACCAGCAACCTTAATTCGGAAAAAAAATTAAAAGGAATGACTAGAACAAATTCCTTTGAAAAGGGAGGGCGTATAAATTTGTAAACTTTGACAGAGGGGCTCCTACCTTGGAGAGACGAGTAGGGCATTTACTATAATATAGCTATTCTGTGAGACAAGTGACTCAATAAGTAGTATTTTCTGTGCAGAACCACTGCGGTCAATGCAGAAGTGAAAGTAGACCATCCACCCATGAGGCTATATACTTATTGTGGCCACTGGGAATCACTGTCTTCCACACCCCTTAGTTGACATTTATGACAGCAGTGAAGATGGCGGCTCTATATGCGAATTTGACCCAGGAGAAGCAATGAACGTTAATTTTTTAAAGGCAGAAGATGTAAAAACATTGCAAATCCATGCAAGAAATATTGCAAAGTATGGATCGTCTGTTATATATATATGATCACTAAAAATCAACACGAGGAGTTCGCTTCAAAACAGACGCACCAACGACGTCAAAGAGAAATCCGTTGAGACAATTATTAAGAAAATTTCACGAGCCGAGGAGCTAATTTTCAACGACAGGTTCATGACTGAAGTTAGTGATGAGATATCCCAAGAAACACAAAGCATTCCAGCAACGTTTTAAGAATGTTGATGATCGATGTTCCCTCAATGTGTAAATGTCCAAAACATCAACATTGCTCGAATGTTGCAAATGAACATTACATTGACGTTGCATGTCGTAACATGTAAGTTGTCTTATGTTGTAGTAATGTTTCAGGACTGTTCAACATAAGTTGCTGCAATCCTGATGGAAAATGTAGCCTCACTGGCACCTAATCTGGACATTGGCATTACTACCCAGAAATTCATAGGCTTCATTGGCCCTGAACTGGACCGGGTATTTTACCAATATTGAATTATTTCATTCACCATTTCGTACCATATACTTTAATTCCTTACCCAGTCATGGTGGAAACGTTCTGAACAGGATGAAGCCTGTATTAGCATAACCCCTGCCCATGCGTAATGCAGCATCTGTATCAAGGATGGATAGGAGACAGCACATTTTGGCAGTTAATCTTCCCCTTAATTTGCGGAACTAATTGGCACGAAATTTCAAAGGAGTGTTGATAACAGACTATGCACGGTAAAAGTTCCGTAAGAATGACAATAGGAAGAGCAGAGTTATGAAGTCGGAGGTCTTCTGCCTATCCCCTGCGTATACATACATATATATAGGCGTCTCCCAACAAAATGTTAAAACCACACTTGTCGCCAGTCCGATTGTTAATTACCAATTCATGGCAAATTCCTGAACATCGAATAAATGAAACTGTGAATGTCAAAAAGTCAAGCGAGGGTAACATCGAAATAAAAATTTCTTTGCCCTGTCGATGAGGTCTCCAAAAGGATATGACTTCGTCAATGCTTATCGCCGTCACGAAAACCTCTCTCGATGCCATTAAGATTAGGTGCATGACTATCGTGCACCTTCAAGTGGTTCTTTTTATCAGTTCGTCGTTTAGGGATGACGACTCGTGCATAGTGACTGTGGTTCTGGCACCCCCAAAGCACGTTCTCCTTCGTGCACTATTCACGAGTGGATAAATTATTCATACACGACAAACATTCTGCCACCCTTCCGAGAATGCACGTATTGCATGTTGGTCATTATTACTGCCCCAATTCCACAAACGGAATTGTATCGGTAATTGATCGTTTGTTCCTGAATTAATCAAAACCACGAACCAACCCTGGCTGATGCAGACAAGTGATCGGTGGACAAGATAATCTTGGATGCCCCAAGGGATAATAAGAAATCTGCTCCTCTTGATTATTATTAAGACTCAGAACAGGATAGCCCGGAGCTCACTCAGATGTCGACATCCTGATAGCTCGACGTTTTTCCACATTTGGACGCCATCAGTATTTTAACAATCGACATTATGCCCATACGACGATTGTGCATTCAACATTGCGTGGCATACGACTTTTTTTTTAAATCGACATAAACCCTGACAACATTCTGGCCTTCATTATTACACAACCATTTATATGGTATGGCAAAAAAAAACAACGGCTTTTAACCCCTCTCTGCCCACTTCAGCTATTTTTACGAAACGTTTGCTGTGCATCGATGGATGTTTCCAACTTCTCTTCAAAATACATTCCAAATTTATTGCTCTAAGGCAAAGCTATCAGCAATTATGAAAAAGAAGTTGGATAATTAAAATGGACAAGAGCTCAGGTTAATAGTGAAATGGAGGACACGCCCGAGTGCTCTGCGTCTATATCATCCAGGCCACATTCAACTTTTCCTCCACTGAAATTCATGTTTTAGGTTGACCTTTTCTTGCAGACTGAGTGGAATAAGGCCTATTAAAACTTTCAATGGTGATCAATAAGTATCAAAACAGAGAGTTTGACCAAAGTTTAGCCAGATTTTAGCATGGGATAGGTCTTCCTACCTTAACTTTTCCTTTCGTCTTCGCCGGAGAACGAGACAGGGGGACGAGACACTCAGAGGGGATTCGAGTCCCCTTTCCATTTTCAATTTCCGATATCTTTTGAGTAATTACTCATTGCTTCACTTAAGCTATATCAATTTGGGTGAAATTCAATAGTCGTTAGGAACATATTACTCCATATACAATGCAGATTTCGTGAAAGTAGCTCCAGAGAACAGATATATAGGTTAAAATCCGTTTGTCTTTTTATATCGTCACATCTTGTATATATGCATGCGTAAAACCCCTTTGGGTCTTATTTTTTTCCCGCTTCTTATGAAACTGAACTTGTTAGGACTGGTTGTGTCGTATATGATATATACTGCTCAGCCACTTTACCGGTCACTTGGCCTAATAGTGGCTCGAAGCGTTCTTGTCAGTAGTGACAACCGCAATTCCACGTGGCATGGATTCCACAAGATGCAGGAAGGTGTCCGGTAAGATCTTAACCCATTCGCCCAACAGTAGTGAACACAGATGGGGCAACGAAGTCGGCAGAGGTATGCGGCAACAATAGCGTCATTCAAGTTCGTCCCATAGTCTCAGGTGCTATGAGATCCGGAAATTGTGCCAACGCTGGAAGTTGTCAAGAGTCTCCTTGACGTTCCTCAAACCACGTAAGAGCGATATGCACGCGGTGAATAGTCGTATTGTCGTCCCCAATCACTACTATCGTATAGAGTATTTTCGGGTGTGCCCAATCGACATTGACACTTAATTACACCTTGGCGATCTTTGGACCGCCCAGGTGAACCAGGAGACCCATGCCACAAGAGCATTCCCCACACAAAGACACCACTCCTGGCGGTCGGGACCTTCTGCACCACAAAAGTTGGGTTTCGGGTTTCGCGTGGCTTTCTCCATACATGAACCCGTACGCCAGTGCAGAACAGAGTGAACCGTGACTCCGCTCCAGACACCACTATGCCCTAACTACCTTGTTTGGATCCGAAATCAGGAACTTCCACAACGGTCTCCGGCTCCAGTAACCCATCCGTTACAACGTTCGTCTCATGGTACTGATAGACACGGTTGAGAGCCGGAATTGAATCCAACCGTCAACTGACTGATGCCAGTTCGGCTTCACCAGTCCCTCGAACTTTCGTCGCCCTCTGTCCATGACAAGGTGCTAACGGCCAGTTTTCCCTCGTGGTCGACATTTCTCTGGCGTGTTCCCATGGCTGATAAACTAGGTTGACGACCGTCTTTGTGTAGCTCAGCCAACGAACAGTCCGTGCCACCGTGGTACAATCTCCATGTGTTCCTTTGCCTTTTCCTTTCGTCTAGTTGTCTGACTAAATCAGTATTGGTCCTGGAGATTTATAGCGTTGCGGGGATTAGACAGCACGTCCATTGGGTAAACCCAATTGATTGCTACGATCGAGGTACAGCTCCCCCCCCCCTTACAATTTACAGGTATTAATAAAATGGCCTGGCAGTGTACGTTGTACATTGCGAACCAACCTCCTTTAAAAACCATTTCATTCATCTAGTTATGAATAGAGCCATTTCAAATCTAAAAAATTCATATTGGAAAAAATATCAATATCAGCTTGAGCTCAGCGTCGAGGTGGTTAAGTCGAATTCTATGTCGAAAGTCTGCCCATAATATTCATAGTTTGGTCTGGACAGTTTTCCATAAGAGACTTCGTGAAATATTGGGTCATGATATTGTGCCAATATCAAACCGAAGCCAATATGCCAAAGAAAGACCAGGTCGGGCCAATACTGTGAGATACTGGGGACGTACCACATCCTCGTCACAGTCTAGACCTGGCACCATCAATTTTCTTTTTTTTGGACCTCTCAAAGAGGTCTTTGGGGATAAATTCAACAGTCATGTTAATGTGAAATTAGGCCTGCAGCAGCTGTTCAGCAGTCAATCAGAGGACATTTTTTGGCATCTGGCATACACAAGCTCGTACACGGATGGCGTGATGCATTGAAGGTGAGAGGGATGATGTGAAAAGCAATAACATTTGAATGATCATACTTGGTATTTACACATTGAACTAAAAATAAATTGACATTCCATATTCACTTCCCCTCGTAGTTGATGATGGTCAACTGGAGGGGAATTTTCTAACAAGTAAGTAGTCTCTGCAGGGGTTTACCTTTTCAGCCTCTTTTTTAAGGGGAATTCTCAGCACAGTCCGTCATTATCATGGGTTTAGAGCATAGCCCAGCGGGAGATCGTGAAGTCTAGAGGAAAAAGGAAGTCAGGAAAGCATGACTGAGACGCGGACGTGGAAGCCACACAACAGAAGATAAGAGTAAAGAACAGAGCAGAGCAGAGCAGAGCAAACCCTGGAGGCCTAGAACGGAAGGCATTTCCTTTTTCACTCCTCTATTTTTTTCCCTTCGTCATCCTCATCTCACATCATGCATCATCACAATTTCACACTCCCTCTTGCTATTGGCCAAATATTTCCTTTCCCCCCTGACAGTTCTTTGTCACCATTGAGAGCTGTGGAAGAAGACCCACCCATCTGAACAGGAAAAAGTCTACCTCGGCCTTTCTGTAAGGTCAATCTTTCAATTGGAGGGGAAAATATATACAGTGATTAATCAAGGTCAAACTTCATGCATTCGATTTTCATACCTGCTGCACAGGGTGTGTTACAATTGACTTTACTTTCAACGGCAGGAGAATCCATTCTGACCAGTCATATCGCATCTTGAAATAAATTATCGTGAATACATGGATATCTGGTTTCCGCTGGCAAATGCTCCCATTTCCACGGAAACAGTTGCCAACGTCTACGATGCAATGCATCGCTCGACCAAATGCATCGAATTATAGTGTGGAAAACATGGTGGGGATACCAAATGCATCATCATGGCAATATTGAAGTGCAAACTCGTATTTTCACAACTAGAGGATATGCTAATGACAGTCAAATGACTGGACATGAAAATATGAATGAATCAAAGTCTGAGGATGCACTGAAGTATTTCAAATGAAATTCAAATCAGATAATAAATAAATATATAAAATGAACAAGCCAAAATAAAATGTCTAAATTTTCATTAATATTGCATTCACCATGAAATTTGAACAATTTTTACTTTAAAAACACAGTTGGTCAGGGCTAAGCATGGGTTTCGGTATAAAAATCGCAATTAGGTCGGAGGTTTGACCCTGTGACCGTAAATCCGTCGTAGCTCCCATAGTCTTAGTTGAAACGGGACGCGACGAAAATGATGTGGTGCTTTGTTGATATGCTGTACGATTCGTGAGGATCCGATCAACCTGAGGGGAGAAATTTCCGGACAAGCAGAACAACAGTAGTATACCAAACCAACTTAATTCTGACCCATGTATGCTGGAAAGGGAGAACCTCCTTCGTGGATGTGATGAGCAGAGAGTGAGCATTACCCTCAAGGGATTCATGTCCAGATAGGGGAGGTAGGGATAGAGAAACACGAACAAACCTGACAGTGAAGACAAATTCCTTTGGACTGAATTCAGGATGACTTGTCTTTGATCTGTCTGAGACAATACATCAGATCAACTTTTCAGTCTAGCATGCATAAAAGGGCATTCTCCAAGATGGCTCATCGGATGGAGAGGGGCACCAAGCGAAACCTCATCAACGCGAGAACGCAAGGAAATGTTGGTTTTCTTGCGGACAGGGTCTATCAATAGTTCGATCTTCACCCATCTACAGCAGAAATATTGGCGTTTTTCAATTTTGATAAAACGGCCAGCTTCTTGACCTACGAAAGAATTGTTTTCCTCATATGAGGGTTTCTGCTTCAATTTCCATACTGAATTTCGTTCGCTGTTTGACTTTTTTCCCATTATCCATCGATAAGACTGGATTGAGTTGATACTCAACGAAAAGGTAACATAACTAGTTGCAGTGATTTCTCTCACACACGGATTCATACATTCGAAGATGCTGCATGCACTTTCACTAAAGAATCCTTGGGAAACTTTCGAGATGAAACGAATGCCATGATAGGACCAGAAAATGAAGCTGTCGTTATCATGGAAAACTGTAAGGCTCGCCGAAGGTTGTTCCTCCGAGATACCTGTCCTATATTATTAAATTCCTCCGGCCATAAAGTCTCTATTTGAACCCCACTGATTTAATTCTCTCCATTTAAAGCAGAGGTCCAGAGACAGCTGAGTTCTCTATCAGCTCCCATAACTGATAGTCACCGTGCTGCTGCTCAAGGCGTGTCTTCAGGACAATATCGAATAAACACTCTTGAATAAATTGTGCCTGACGCAATAGGATGGCTTTACGCTGCCGATTTATGCCGCGGAGCGTACTTATACACACTTTTTTTCCATTCATACATTGTATTCATACATTACATGAACAGGCCATTGAATGGAGAAGTCATTTCTGAATCAAGTCGTTCTTTCCATGACGAGGAAGGAAATGGGACTTTCCATTCACGGCATGGAAATTTCGCTGTCTGGTTTTTTGAGTTTCCCCTGCTTGGACATGAATTCCTTGAAAGGGAATGCTCACTATCCGCTTATCACATACATGATAGAGGTTCTCTTTTTCTAGCAGAGAAGGTCAGACTCAAATTGGATTTTATATTACTATATATAATGCGGCCCAAAAATATAAGCCGTACTTCGAAGTTTACGAAGATGGTATTATTGAAAAGAAAATGTAATAACTTGAAAAATGTTTCACTCTCTAGATAATTTGACAGCTTAGAAATCCTGAAGACTCCTTTTTGTTGTGGATATAGTCAACACCGTGGATTTCCGTTTATCCGTATCGCAAACATTCTGGACTGTTTGACTATGGTACACAAAACACTGTGGAGTCGAGAGACAAATACGAGGTAAGACAGAAGTTTGGTCTTGGGGCGACAGGAAGGTCATTGTTTGATTGAATAAGCAATTACATGGAACTGGAAGTATCATGTCAAATTTCGTTCAATTCCCCATACACTAGAGCAATTGACCTTGCTATTGCTCCAGGACTAAACTCTTGCCTCATTTGTCTCCTGACTTCCAAAGGATTTTTGAACAGTCGAACAGCCGAGAATCCAGTAAACAGACCTGTTACAGGTCTTATCCCGTGTTTCTCGCTATTAGGGTGACTTTCCCTAACAGCTTGACGGCCTACTGTGAATGAGTGTCTTACTTAGGTGGGACTTTGAGCCGTCCAGACAGAGATGGAATGGTCCGGCCCCTCCGAGCATACTAAGCAGACGAGGACAGCTCAACAGACAAATGTCCACTCGCGATAACGAAATGCACTGCCCCCAATAAGGACATCATTAACAGTTTGGTGTTCTGCATAAAATATGTGAATGAAGCCGCACCCATGGCCAGATAGATACAGGTGCAGCCTAGGACGGAGCCATTTACGGTCAACGAATGGCATCCCAGACGTTCACGTATATGGACTCATGGAGCGAGCGAGAGAGGGTCCGGAGGGGGCCCAGTCCTTACCTGGAGGAGGTGGAGCAAGGGCTCGCCTGCCCGGATCCCGCTGAGCCCAATTGACCCTGTGGGGGTGGTGGAGACGGGGGTGGAGGCGTCGAAGGAAGCCCTGCGAGCCCTGAGCTTCTGCTTCCTCTATAAGTCTCTCCATACTCCTCTACAGTCTCCTCCACCAACGAAGTGCTCGCTCTGTCATTCAGAAAAATCTAATCAGTTTCAGGAAACGCTGACACTGGTACTGCGATGTACATCTCATTCACCTCCAGCTCATGCTTCCAGGAGTGAAAGCGATCATATGTCTACCGGTAGAATGTACATGTCATTCTGATGGTAATGCCAATCAAGCATATTTGATGAACTGCAGGTTCTGTAGCGTCGAATAAATAGTGCTTTCATAGATATACCAGTAATACAATACAGTATATTCAAGTTTACTTTCCATCCAGGTTGCTCCTGTGCGATGATCATCGTGACATGTCCTGAAACTCCGTTGTAATAGTGTACGTAAGAGAGACAGGAAGAGGTAGGTAGGTAGATTTCCGAAGGTAACGCTTGACCCAGTAGTACGCAATATTGGCCCCATCATGAGCCTTTATTGGTATATTGGCTTCAGATTGGCAAATGAACAATACCTTGACCTAATATGGAGGTCCTAAATTGAGGCAATATAGAAGTATAATATAGATATGCAATATAGGCCCAATATCCCATGTTTTCCAGTTTTTCAGTGACGGTCAATGTAACTTAGGGGGTTTCCGATAAGTTCAGTAATTGGACAATGAATGTAGAAGATTAGACCTAAAACGTTCGACAAATATCTGAGAATTTTTTGGCTTTGGTGAATATTTGAAATTCCAACACTTCTAGAATCTAGTAGCGACGCTGTAGGCGCCGTTGTTCACTATTGTTCCACCGTACACATAAATGCCTTTCCGTCGTTCCTTGAACTTCTCCCAATCCAGGAGCATTTATAATAGTACCCAGCTCATATCTCGTCTAGGTTCATTGGAAGAGCCGATAATACGGGCGCATGGACATTTATTATCCTATGAGAAAAAAATTATGGAGCCCAGAAAACCAGTCAACGTGTCTTTCCGATGACATGGTTGTTCATAGCCACTTTGGGTATTATTGAAATATTTCGAGTATGACAAGATAAGATCAAGCATGAGAAGCTTGATTCTGGTCATTACCTCAGGCAGCAAAACGAGCTTGTTAATTTCTTTGTACTTCAGGGTTCTCAGTGTCTGTGATAATAGTGAAGGAATATTACATTTAAAAGACACTCCAAGTTATTTAAAAAATAAGGTAGTTACGGGCTTGCAAGCTTTACACGGTACATATAGCCATCTCGACTAAGGAAAGCAAGGACGACGACAATGAGAAGGTGTGTAATTGAGGTGGAGTTCGCGATGAAAAGGTTGATGTGAAAAAAGGGGACCCAATTAAGCTGCTATCATACACATGAAATGTCAACTGGATGTCACTTGCTCTGAAACTTATCTGACGACACGCGTTTCAATGGATCCAATGGTAAATGACTCTGGTCTTCCCACCTCTTTCCCGGCCGACTCCCAAGACGGTCGAATCACTTGACTCGAGCCACGGCCATACCCCTTAACGTGAGGTTGGGCTTGTGTTGGTGGTGCTTTGGGTTTTATGGAGACATGAACATATTAGTCGCTGTGTGTTCCCTTTTCCGAGTATACAAATAACATACATCCGTCACGACTTTCTGAATCTGCTTACGTAGATACAGAAGGCATTACTCTGGTTTTCGATGGCCCGCGTTAGAGAGAGCTTGCATGCTTGACAACACAATAAATCAACTGCTTGATTGAATCCGATGAATGCGAATCAACAAGTGCGTGATGAAGACATTGAAAGCTTCCGCGTCTCGGACGGCCTTGTGAGAAGGAAAAGGATAAAATGGAATAGAGGAGGACAGAGGGTCGCTTATGACCAAAGAAGCAAGAGGAAGGAGACATTCTGTCTACCCTGATAGCGGACTCCCTCTCGCCCCCTACACTCTCACGCACGTGCACACTCGCACGCACACACTCGCAGTCTCACGCGGCACAAGCGGGTCATGATGACTCATACCAACCATGAGAGGACTAAACGTAAGAACGTACGTACAAACGAACGTTAAGAAGAACGGACGAACACACAGGCACTTGGCCCGGAGTCTTATGCTTCCTCACCCCACCCCTCCCCTCCACCATTACATACTCCAAAAACCATTCCCTCTTCGTCAGGTGCCAACTGCCAGCTTACAGACGCCTGCAATGACCTCCCATCAGTTACATCTTCTTCGGCTTCGGTTCCTAAAATGCGATAACCACAAAAGGAAATGACAGGCAAAAAGCAGAGACCTAACTTTTCGGCACTCAACACCATTGCCGTACTAAAGAAATGTATTGTTCTGACCGGTACGGACTCTCTATTTTGGGTTGCTGGCTTTTCTATATACTGTAATCGCGCCACAAATGCGCGCCCGAGCGTAACTCAGTCAATTACTAGAGGAATTCGGAAAAGTTCTCTCCGATGTCCCGCAACTCGCCCTTTTGCCAGCGATAGAACTGCTTCAACTTTCGTGAATACGTCACAAATTACACAGTTGCTGAGGGGCAGTATTTGGATATAGGACTGTCCCATTCAATTTCGAAGGGTGCGCTACGTGACTCAAACAGGAGAGAAGACTGACAGAGATAAGAACTCGTCTTTCCACATGGGGACAATTAGCGTGAAAATCCGGATTCCTTCTAAAGATATTGCCGTACGGGACAAGAAAGGAGAGGGGGGGAGGGGTGAGAAGGAAGGAGAGTGAAGGCATATTATGAACTGCCGACACTTCAAGTCTGGGATCATTTAAGCATGCACCTGACGTAGGCTACGACGGACAAACGCATTCTCATGCTAGAAGAGAAGAGATTGTTACTAGAAGCACGCGGCTGGCCTTGATTGAATACAATTCAAAGTCGGCCTTCAAAAGCACCACGTGATCCGAAGAACTCGGGGTCCTTGATTTCGTACCAGGCATTCACGACAGACTTTGAGGGAGAGAAGGCAGAGATGGAGATTGAATCCAAGACCATCAATCACTGGACGGAGTTAATAACACTTAATAGTTCTGGCCCTTCCTCTTTCACCTTTCGCCCACCTGATTCACCCTTAACTTTTGTCATCTGAGATATGGGCGGCATTACCTTGGGGGTTAAGCATGGCAACCCCGAAAAATGCATAAATGAATGAAAGAATGAAAGCAATTCCTTTCCTCTTCATTCCACATGCAGTAAAAAGCATAAAAGCAGCGGAGAGCGTGATGGCGAGGTACTAAAGAGAGGAAAGATAAGCCATTCATGGATGACTAGCGTTCCTTCGCATGCCTGTATCACAATGAAAGCCAGATTTCTCTCTCCTCTCACCTCATTCTCGTCCTCGTGAGACTACTTATAGTACTGAACCGATCGGTGCATACCAATCGCAATAGCGAGGCAAAAACTATTGTATGAAACAGTATAAAGCTCCAACCGTACCGAATGAAAGTTATGGAAGACTAATTGGCAAGAAAGTCTTTCAGGAGTCTCGTCAGAGGCACGGTCCTAATAGCAACATGAGAAGTGGCAAGTACCCTTTCAATTCTCACCAGGAAGGAATAGTCCAGGAGAAGAGAGGATCTGCTTGAAAAATAGCATGCGAACGCTTCCATAGTTTTGTCGATCGTTAGATGGTCTTTTTTGATGGAGTAACATGTCCCTTCGGGCGTGGCTCTCTGCATGATTCTGATAGTATTATTTGGCAGTAGGTGGTTCGTGTATATTTCTTGAGCATTGTCATGTCCAAAATCACAGAACACTACGCACTATTTGCTTTCAAGCAGCAATGATGTAAATCTTGTCCAATGTACTTATTAACGTCCAACGATTGGTTTAGTGTGCGGGCTATGGAAGCATCCGCATGCTGATTTTCTAATAAACTCATAATCTAATTCAATTCCTTCCTTTCCTCGAGTGGAGAAGTTGAAAAGAGTACATGATACAAGTTTTGAGAGGAATGTGTCCCTGAAGAGACTGCTACGTGACTTGTTTGCTGTAAGAAAGGCCTCCTAACCTGTCATTCGCCTTTCGCTTTGTTTAGATTTTTTTTTGAGCTTGTTGCAATAGCTTCGTCTCACTTTTGCGCATGACTGGCTGGAGAAGTCAATGCACAGCTCCATGTGGTTTCAGGTGCATGACCTGCTGAACGCAATCCCTGTAATCATCTAGAGTTTCAAAACAACTCCATCCACCTGGGGTCCAGGGTTTACCTCCCTCAGGGAGGAACAACTTGAACGAACGAAAAGTAAAGACATGGACCCGATATACGTGGAAGGAGGCCATTTTCATACAATCCCTGTTCGACGAAGCGAAGACCTGTCCGTATCACAATTACAATGCCTCATACGTCAGCAGCTTGTCAACTGCAAGGAGCCGTTCCTTTCATGGAATTATGGACAGGCCATTCTTCATGACCTTTTGCATCGTCTCGCATCTCCCTCTCTTCACGATCAGCTTGTAATGCAATGTATCAAGAACACTAAAACCTTGAGGTGTAAAACAGTGTGAATCGTGTTAGATGACGTCCCCAGAAGTAAAGTCCTAAGACTTAGGGCAGAAAGAATCGCGTGCGAAACGTAATAATTACATCATTCCAATAAAAATCTGAGCAGTGGAGAGGTAGAGGACGATCGCTTCCATCTTTCCTCGATCGCTCTATAGAAACTCCTCAATGAGCAAGCACAACCTGATACATGATATATCCAAAATCAAGGGGAACAAAGAGACCTTCCAACCACAAGGAAATCGTCGTGATTGGAACGCGGAATTGGGAGAAATGAACGAAGAGATGGGCAATATCCAATCGGGGAGAGCGCTGTTTTTTCTTAGAATGGTGCATTATGCTATGCCCTTCTTGAGAAGCCCTACTTACGGCCCTTGCTTTTTTCTCATGTGATGAAGATGGGTGAGTTTACACCTAATCGTAAATTCATAGGCATAGGTGAGGAAGGAATCAAAATACCGTCCACTACCGTTATACCTTTCAGAATTTCAATGGCTTTACTCTGCCCTCGGGAAATCAGGTACGACCAGAAATGTTGATGCCATCACCAGAGAATACTAAAAAAAAATACTGCACCAGTTTGGTGA